ATGGAATATAACATTCATAGGTACTATGAGTGTATAATCACCTGAATATTACCTAAGAATGAGCCATTTTTATTTACAGTATCCCAGAACAGACAAATCATACACCGGCTGTAGATAGAGCCTTTTGCTCTTGAAGGTATAAAAGCAAATGTAGCAAAGTAAAAAGTAGATTACTTGTTCAAAAATATATAGAGTAGAGGTACAGGTTAAAAAAGGAACATGAGTTCCTGAATAAAATGCCTTGTTTACTCCCGTGCATTACGTGTAATCTGTTACTAGCCTGTTACCCTGCTATCTGATACCAGGATCAATGTCTCCTGCACACTGATGTATGGCAGTTGAATGTGCATGTCAGTTGTATTTCACTCTGATGGCATGTTGAGCATCATTATGGTGCTGTGTGTTGACACGTATGCATTGTTGTTGTGTGTGTGCTGTGTTAAAGTAATGGCAGAGCCGTGGCCATGAACAGACAGTTGCGCTGCGCACATCATCCATATCCGGTAACTCCTCTACAGTGCTGATTAGCTGTGGGATGTTACAGAGGGAGTTCATAGGTAAAATCAATATTTTGTCCCTTATGTGTTCCACCAACGCTCCGCTGCCTGCTGAGGTCTAAAACATTTCCAGTCGGGTGCTGATGGGATCTTTTTACCCTCACAGCTCAGATGAGTAATGAACATTCTGTAGTAGCTGACAAGTTGAGATGTGTGCTGACAATTGTGCTCAGCTCATCCTTGCCTTACGTTTGAAAAATCCATATTTGTACACACTATGTTGATAGTTTATGTGGTTGCAGTGTTTTTCAGATAATTCTGAAGGTTTTGTTTGTAGGGCACTCCGACAGTGGTAGTTAAAATTAGTAAAGACAATATTTGCAGCTGTCAGTGTCCCTGGGTCAGATCTGTGGGTGGTAGCAGTGCACATTGTTGTCTGCCACAGTGTCTTTTTTGATACTACCAATAGGGGCAGAATTGATCACATCCTACACAACAGGGGCTTTTAACCTGCATGGCTGAGTAACATGTTATATTGGACCCGGCCAATCAGGTCTTGCAGCAGCAACATCATTCCTTTTCCTTTGCCACAGTTGTGCAGAGACATCAGAACACGTTAGACTAGATGAGAGATGGCAAAAAAATGTGGACCCCAGGAAAACTAGCTGTGCTTTAGGGCCATATAAAGCAGTGTTTATTTTACACCGCATACCACCTCAGAAAATATCAGGCTCTCCAAATAGACAGCGTAGGCATACCCTATTCAGCTATAGATGGTTCACACAGGAAGCAGCTATATTCCTAATAGGAAGATTATTACTTGTTAACTGTTGTTGAATCCTGAATGGAACCGGTTTAAGAACCAGAGCTAATTTAGTAGAAAAGGGGTTCTCCTGGTCCACACTTTTCTTCCCAATTGTTCCTGTTTGGACCCACAAATGCAGTGTTTTTGAACCGTTCATTTTGACCTCTGCTTACTATGATACCATCACATCTTAGCTCCTAACTAATCATGGATGTACTGTATGTGTGCACTATGTGCATTAACATGACTACATAGCAGGCTGATGTTGAAACAAAATATTACAGGAAATTAAATAAATGAAATTTCAATAATTTCATTGTTTATATATTTTTAAATCAATTTAATATTTGTCTATTTGGTCTATTATTTTTTTCTAAGCTTCATAAAAATCTCAGAACAGTCCTGTGGAATTGCTGTCGATGGTCACATCTGAATGCAAACAGCCTGTTAATGATCAAATTTGTTGTCATGGTTGTTAAATACATGCACAGGGATGTTTCTGGACCTAACTTAAAAAAATATTGATTGATTGATTGATTTCAACCAAAGCAAGTCCTGTATTATCAAAAAAAAAACTAGAAAGATCCTAGAAAACAATTTCTTAAAAAGGGTGGGGACCCTGTTAATCTTAGTGAACTCAGCCTAACATGTGTGCTGTCTTCAATGCAGCACTGGCTCAGTGAACAGAGGGACAGAGAACAGGTCCCAGCTGACTGTGTTAAACTGTACTTACACTATACTCCTGTGGGGAAATGGACAGTGCACCGTGATTGCTGCGGTCATGCCCATAAGCAAAATCACACACATTGAGTTTCCTCTGAGCAACAAGAAGAGAGAGAGAGTTTCCCACATATTCTTCCCCTACCTCTCTCTACGCTTGAAGTTCAGCCTAGCGTGGGCCCTCTTATTGATTTTTAGTTCAATATGTTCCTCTCTTCAGTGTTCAGTGGAGGAAGAGCTCAGTGATCAGTGATAAGGCTACTGAAGCTGACTCACCTCTCTTTACATGTTGGACCTCAGTGTCATGGCTCTGTCCTGTCGCTCTCACTGCTGTCACTAACAATGAACTCCGCACATTTCCAAGCTGTTTTACAATCTGCAGTGATTCCATAAACTTTTGTACCATGGATGCAGGAGAGATGCTTTGAAACCAATGAAAAACCCTTTCTACATTTCTATCGGGTGGGCGGGCCGGGCTGGGTTCTAGTACTGTGATGCAGCCGCTGTTGCGCAGGCGAGGCGGTAGGCTTGCGGAACGGTAAAGTGGTGAACGCGGCGGTGGTGTTCAGGCCCGCGCGCCTCGTCCGGGTGCCGAGATCTGTCGAGCGTGGACGCGCCCGGCGCGCCCGCCCGCGTTGTGTCGGTGCGCGGTTGGCAGCGGGTTGTGTGGCGGGTGCGTGCCGCGCCGCCCGCGGGCGTGAGCTGCGCGCTGCAGGGCGGGAGGATGGTCGGGTGGGTACCCGAGTGCGAGCGTTCTGAGCCGTGGTGGGCCGTGCATCTTGCGATTGTGAAGCGAGGCCCTGGAAGTTGGTGAGTCGAGCGGGGTCGACGTCTGGATCTTCAAGTTCATCCAGGAGAAAAAAGCTAAGCTAACGTTAGCAGCTCGGCTTGCAGCCCCTCCGAAACATCCTGGGTCATAAAAAGGCTGAGAAACCAGAGCCAGAACCAGCACAAGTTTAAATTGACATCGCAATATAAGAACAAGACTAAATAAGAATCCTTTAAACTACTTTATACGTCTTCATGTAAGACTCTACTTTTCCTTTCCTGCTCTGTTCCAGGCGTTCGGCCAAGCCTACTCCACCCAGCGTAAGGTGGCAGAAGATGGGGAGACCAACGAAGAGACACTGCTGCAGGAGTCCGCCACCAAGGAGGCCTACTACATGGGCCGCCTCCTGGAGCTCCAGTCGGAGCTGAAGCACAGCCGGGCCACCGCCTCCAATGCACAGGCCGACAACGAACACCTAAGCGCGCTGCTGCAGGAGCTGAGGGAGGTACAGTACAGCGATAGGGATAAGGATATCATATTATACATAAGCTAGCTTGGTGCTATATATTTGTAAGAGTGTTTTCATGGATAAAACAAACAGGAAATGGTTTAGCTAACCACATGGTTATAAGCGCATCTTTCAACAGTTCTATCATGTAAAAGCAAGTTACTTTCATGCTGGTTCCAGTCATTTAATTGGGTTGTCAGCATTATAAACCGCACACAGCTCCAGCTCCATTTCCCTGAACTGTCTCAGCAGAGTAATGAGATGTTGGAGCTGCAGCGCAGCCGGATGCGAGAGGAGATCAGGGAGTACAAGTTTCGTGAGGCGCGGCTGCTCCAGGACTACACTGAGCTGGAGGAGGAGAACATCTCTCTGCAGAAACTCGTGTCAACACTCAGACAGAATCAGGTACAGAGGATTCACACACACAATATATAATGGATCATATTTTACATTGGTCCAATGGTGGGACTTTATTTGCCTTAGTCACATATGTTAATATTTTTTTTTCTGCCACACACACAAACACACACACATATCTGCTCTATAAATCACTTGTCGAGACAATGTAGATGGAGAAGATAATAAAGTCTTCGATCAATGATCAAACTAGGATCACTATAAGTTACAATCAATATAAACAGCCAACCTTGTTCCTTGTTGGTCTAATTTCAAATAAATGTGTTAAAAGTTGAAATATTCTATTCCTCCTTTACTAGGGATACCTATCAAGCCAGGAACCCCAGTTTGAAAACCACTGTGCTACACAACCCAAGAGCCACAGACTGAAAACCAGTCCACATTAGCTTTCCCCTTCATGTCCAACTTACAAACATTCAATTAAATTAAATTCAATTTCATTTGTATAGCACCAATTCAAATCAGAAGTTATCTCAGGACACTACTCTTGTTCTGCAACTTTGCAAACCAACATTCCCAGAGGAAGTAAAACTCTACTGCTGAAAGGTTCACCAGCTAGATAGCCAATTAGCTACTCAGCTGCAGCACATCAAACAGTGTAAAAAAGTACTTGCAAATGTCAACATTGGTCAGTTCAGATGCTAAACTGTGTGCTCATTACTCTGCTAACAAAAACACTGTGAAGGCACCATATGAGTTTAACTGTTGACAGTGATTATTCTAAAACATCAATGTACATCCTGTAGAGGTATGAGTTAATAAACTGTTTGTATGTTGAAGTATTTTACGTTATTGTTTTGTTAATGAATGTAAATAACATTAAGTGTGAGAGGAAGACACCATGGAATAAGGGGCTTAATGCACTGACTACTATAAATACTTACCAAAATCATATGCAGCCAGCATATGATGTCGGTTCAGCACATGTCAATCAAGATTATAGCAGCGGTGCAGATACGAGTGGTTCGTTGCGTGCCCTGAACTTGGCCCACTGATAACGGTAAACGTCATCTTATTTGTTGAGAGGCCAATGTCAAGGTGAATATCAGCTGATACAGAATAATTGACAATATGAATTATAGTAATAATATGAACAATATGAAATCAAGTAACAGGGAACATTGGACGACATATTTAAAGCCTCAAGCCTAAAGAATGTATGTAGAATTTGAATTTGAATAAAATTTGATGCAACTTTCAGTTTCAGTTACAGCCTTTGATTAGGAACTTCCATCACATCAGGGATTTAGTCCATTGGCTAGACAATCCCTCTGTTTTTCCACTCCTGTTTTAGGTGGAGTATGAAGGCCTGAAGCATGAGATCAAGGTCCTGGAGGAGGAGACAGAGGTCCTCAATAGCCAGCTACAAGATGCACTGCGTTTGAAAGACATCTCAGATGGCCAGCTGGAGGAGGCACTGGAGTCTCTGAAGAGCGAACGCGAGCAGAAAAACCACCTGCGCAGGGAGCTGGTCCACCACCTGAGCATGTGTGATGTGGCCTACACTGGCAGTGCCCACCTGACGTTCACCTCCGCCCCGCCCAGTGGCAGCGCCACCCCGACCACTCTGCTCTCCCCAAATGCAGAAGAGCCAACGAGGTGGATATTGCACAGATGAAACCAATGTGAAAAGAGTGATAAGATAAGATGTTCCTTTATTGATCCCCCTGTAGGAGAAATTCAAGTCAGACACAGCAGCATAGGGGAATGTAGTGCAAAGAGTACAGAGTGTACAAGTACAATAAGAATCACAATATAAGAATAT